GAGAGGATGCGGGGGGAGGGTGAGGGGAAAGCGGGAGAATGTGAGGGAGTGGCGAGAGAGATTCTGCCGAGCCAGCAGCCGCCCCTCCTCCTCTCTCTCTCACTGCCACACGTGCCACAGTGGGGGGGAGGGTGAGACGGTGCCGGAAGTCAGCTAGGCATTTGTGTCAAACATTGTATATGTTCCTATTCTGTAGGCTATAGTGGGTTTAGCCTTAGGGGGTACAACATTCTAGGTTTTCCTACTTGTACTCCCAATGTTGTTAGTCCAATCACTTCTCTCTTTCTGACAATCTGCAGCGCCCGCTGCTACCGTGGCACCTCCTGGTGCCGCCCCTGCCTCCACCTGCTGTTTCTTTTGCTGTTTTCTTATGTTGAGTGGCAGGTGCTGCCGTTGAGCCCTGTTGTGCAGCCGCACGTTGCCGCCGCACGCACCCGCTCTCCATGCGACCTGTCGCTACATGCACCTTTATCTGTTGCTTCTACCTTGGCTGAGGGGTTGGTGCAGCTGAATTTGCTACCACTGCACCGGTTGCCACTGCTCTTGCTTACTGTTGTTGTTTTCTCTGTTCGTGGTGTACCCATCCAGGATGTGTCGCTGCACAAACTTCTGCTGCAGGCAGTTATGGGGGAGTGTTGGAATATATATGTAACTGCCTGTAGCTATAGTTTTAGTGTAGCTATTATGGTGCACCACTTGTTTCTTGCCTATAACTTTGTACCATTTCTCATTATTGAACCTCTTTGGCTAAACTCACTCAACATGTTCCTCTCTAAGTCTCCTACCCCAAACCCTAGTCTTAACTTAATCTACTATTATGACAGTGTGGACAAAGAAGAGTGAGGGCAGGATTCCGAGTCGAATCAAGGAGAGAGAGAGAGAGTGTGAGCTGCGCATGCAGCATCACAACACGACATCACAAAAACAGTGAAAGCGTATGTGAGAGTGCGTTTGAAGTGCCGCTCTGAACAGAGATCAATTACGTATGAATGCTTTGTTAATTTAACGGTGAATAATAGGAGAATAATAAGGTTTTTCTTCTAATCTGTTTATAAACGCCAAGAGAGCCTAATAAAGCAGCTCACCGAAGAGCCTTGTTGCTTCTAGTTATGTGTAACCAATGGATAATCTATGCTGAATCTGCATTCGTGATCTTTGTGAACTGTTATATCGCACCGAGACCTCGCCAACGGAACCCGATATAAGTTCAAAGTCAACGCAAGAGATAATCGGCTGCGTCGCACGCACCCCATATTCAGCACAAGTCAATAAAATCGTGCTCTGCCGACAAATAAGCTTACCTCCAAGCCGCGCCGCACCAGGCGGGAGACGTATAATTTTCCAAATGCCTAGCATAAGTTATTCGTAATGTTATCTAAACCTCGTTCACTTCTTTCAACAGAATTACCGCTCTCAGATACTAGCAATGCGAGCACTAACGACTCTTCTAGGTTAAATACGCATCACTCCCAGCGAGGACGTTTGTAACGCGTATTCCGATCGAGTGTCTCCGAGTCCGCGACGCGACCGTGCTGATGGCGCGAATGCATAGTTTCTCCACGTCAGCCCTCCCTTCAGCCATCGTTTCAGCCACGTCGTCCGTCACGTCAGCCATCACGTCAGCCACGTCAGCCGTCACGTCAGCCACGTCAGCCATCGCATCAGCCGTCCCTACGCTCCCTTCAGCCGCGCCAACGGCCCTCTTGTCCGCCATTCTGACGGCCCTCCCTGCACTCCTGCTCATCCGCGCGGCGTCAGGACAACCAGACGGCTACCCAATAATAGAATACCCCAACTGCCCGATTACTGGCCAGCGCCCCGAGAACATCGAGACGGCTTATATCGAGGCGTCTGGTGTCGGACCGGCTAGTATTGGAGCGGCCGTGTGGCAGCGCCGGTGCACGACGGAAGACAACATGACGTGCTGCGGGCTGTGCGGGGGAGAGGAGCTCGCGCTGCGATACATCCGATCCAACGTCTCTCTCGCGATCAGCGCGCTCGGCGCCAACGCCACCGCTGCTGCTCGTAAACTCATCGACCTCTCCAACCCGCCCTCTGTGAGAGTGGCTCTGTAAAGTTGGGGTTGTGGGTGAGCTGGGGTTGTGGGTGAGCTGGGGTTGTGGGTGAGCTGGGGTTGTGGGTGAGCTGGGGTTGTGGGTGAGCTGGGGTTGTGGGTGAGCTGGGGTTGTGGGTGAGCTGGGGTTGTGGGTGAGCTGGGGTTGTGGGTGAGCTAGGGTTGTGGGTGAGCTGGGGCTGCGGGTGAGCTGGGGCTGCGGGTGAGCCGGGCTGTGGGTCCGCGGACCGACCACTGCTACTGCTGCTCTTGGACTCATCGACCTGCCCAACCCGCCCTCTGTGAGTGTGCTGCTGCTGCTGCGGGCTGAGGAGCCTCCCTCTGTGGGGGAGAGGAGCTCGCGCTGAGATACATCTGATCCAACGTCTCTCTCGCGATAGAAGCCCTGGTCTCCAACGCTAGCACTGCTGCTCCCTCCCTCCCTCTCTATCCCACCTCCCTTTGTGAGGACGCGTCCCCTACCCGCGATAGGTCGTGCGTAGGATCGATCCCCGGCGTCTACAGTGCAACTGTAGCTTAGCAGTCAACGGGATTACCCTATTTCGGCAACGTTAGCGAATATACAGCAACATGTGCCAGACGAGCCTGTCACCTCCGTTTTTGGCGATCATCTGCCTCTGATTCGCTGCCTCTCTGCCTCTCTGCCTCTCAAACTCTGACTCTCATCCTCTGCCTCTCTCCTCCCGCCCACCAGGCATGTGAGGCCTTGCAGGGCTATCCTCTCTGCACACATCTGCTCCTCGACCTCTCCCTCTCTTCTCCTCCCCTCCTCTCTCCTCTCTCTCCTCCCGCCCACCAGGCATGTGAAGCCTTGCAGGGCTATCCGCTCTGCGCACATCTGCTCGAAATGGTCATGTGCACTGCCGTCTGTGACGCAGGTACCACCATCTATCCTCCTCTCTTTCCTCTCCTTCGTCTCTATCCTGTCCCTCCGTTCCCTCCTCTTTCTCCTATTTCTCCTCTTATCCACTCTTGCCCTCATCTGCTCGAAATGGTACCGTCTGGGATGCACGTACCTCCACCTTTCCTCCCACTCCCTCCCTCCTTTCACCTGCCTTTGTCACTCATAGTGTTGTCTTCTCTGCGTCTGTCCCTTCTGGTTTTGTCCTTTCTCGTTTTGTCGCTTCTGCCTTTGTCACACGCAGACACAGAATACTTGGTGGAAGCAGGTCCCACAATCACCACCAGTGATGAGCTTGCAAAACAGGCTTAAAGAATCCTTTCTTAAGTCGGCTAAAAAATGAGCTTGCAGAGAGGCTCACAGCATCTTGACACTCAGAGAGACAGGCGTATCGGAGCAAGGATGCAAATCGGAGCCTGCCCCTCTCAAGTTCGGTCCATTCATCCGTCCACTCAGAGAGACAGGCGTATCGGAGCAGCGATGCCTAGTTTTGTTCCTTCTGGTGTTGTCCGTTCTGCTTTCGTCCCCTCCTGCTTTGGTCACACGCAGACACGGAATTCGTGGTGGAAGCAGGTCCCACAATCACCATCTGTGACGGGCTTGCAGAGCGGCTCAAGGCGGAATGTGCGGGAACGCTATGTGAGTGGCGGCCTTGTGATTGCGTGCTTGTGAGTGGGTTCTTGTGAGTGGGTGCTTATTCCCTTTCCTTTCCTTTCCTTTCCTTTTTCCTCTCCCTTTCCTTCTCCGTTCACCCTCCATCATCGATCGCTCTCACACCTCTCCTCCCTCTCCTCCCTCTCCCGCCTCTCCTCCCTCTGCGCCTCTCCCCTGCGTGCACCCATCAGTTGGCCGCATCACAATCACCATGGATGCATATTCCTTCACCACCCAGCTTCTCACAGCGATAGGCAGAAACCTCTACGGCATCCCTTCCTTCTCAGCTGTTATCTCTTTTTCAGGGGGGGTGAGTCACAGCCTTCCACTAGCAATATTCCTGCTACAGCCTTCCTGTAGCAGGCGTTTGTTTTTTTACAATTCTTGAGAGCCGCCTGCTTCCTTCACGACCATCCTCTATTCCTTCCTCCTCTCCCCTCCCTCTCTCCCCCCCCTCCTCTCCCCTCCCTCCTCTCCCATCCCTCCCTCCACTGCCTTTGTGGCCCACTTACCACCGATGCCTTCCCCCCCACAATCATCTGCTGCCATCCTTTCAACCTGACCCCTCCCACTTCCCATGCCGTTCCCCCACCACCATCTACTCTGATCCTTGTCAGTTAATGTTTCTCCCCTCCATTCCCTCCCCTCCCCTGCAATCCGCAGTGCCTCTCCGGCCCACCTACCGACGATGCCTTCCCCCCCACCACCACCTGCTGCGATCCCTTCACCCTGCACCCCTCCCACTGCCCCCCAAGCTCTCTTCCCAACCCCCAAACCGAGCCACACCCATCTTCACCACTCTCACCCCAACCACCAACCGACCTCAACCGCTCTAACTCTAACACTTCAAGTCTCAACACTTACATCGAGTATCTGAATCGTGATATCAATGTGTCTCAGTGCATGGCTGCTGAGCCTTATGCCTACCCTCCTTTGCCTAATCCATCTAACCCCGAGCCTCCTGTTCTGCCCCTTTCCTTTGACTCTCCCCAGCCACTTATTTTCTTCAAGCCTTTCTCATGTGCGACACATACCGTGCTTTGTTTAGTCACTGCAGGGTTCTTACTTTGGATTCTCATCCGCTGCACCAGTTATTTACGCATAGGATTGCATAGAGCATCAATAATGAACAGTATAAAAGTTGGTGATTCTCCGGTGGGTTTGTCTGGCAGGGAGTTTTGTGGATATATGTATTACCGTATCCCCTCTGATAGAAGCGCCTAGGAGCTGCTTGTAATATTCTGGCCATCTTTCGGGGTGCAGCTGATACCGTAAAGGAATTGTTTGTTACAGTGCTGTAGCTCTGAGAAACAATTATAATCAAGCCCCAGTGTAGTACCATCTCCTACGGTGGGCCTATTGTGGTATTCCATGCTTGAATGATTCACATTCTAAGCTTGCTTTTTCAACATATAGCAACACCATCCAGCACTTCCGCACTGCTATCACGTATGAAACATTGCTGATGGGTAATAGGTGATTGGTAATCTCCTGTTCACAATCTATGCGGGCATGCGCAATCAATCATCCCCACTTGCGTGGAGGAGCTATAACACGCGATGTAACGCCTCCTGGTAGTTGCTTATTAAAAAAATACAGTACATCAGGAAGAGACAAGGTGCCAAGATGCGGTGGTGGTCAGGGCTCTTGTCTATTGGTTGCCAATAGCCAGAGCTGTGCAGAGAAGGCCGAACACCAGGAAGGGCTGTGCGCTAGCCTGCATGTTACCAGTTGGTGTGGGGGGAGGGGAATCGGAGAGGAGACGAGCTGTGACGAGAAGGCCAAACACCATGAAGTGCCATGCGTGCACTACTTCAAATAATGATGGCACTACGACAAGAAGGCTAGACACCATGAAGTGCCATGCGTGCTCTACTTCAAATAATGTACACGTTTGTGGGAGAGGGGAGAAATGGAGAGGGGAGATTGATGGCACGGTAGAAAGGGCTTCTTTTCAAAGCCAACAGCTAGCCCTATGCAGAGAAAATGAATGTGAGCATTACCCCCCAAAGCGTTTGTTGGTAGGGGAAGCAAGAAAAAGGATAAACGCCAAGAAGGGCTGTGCGCTACCCTATTCCGCATTACTTCCTACTACACGTTACCTGGTACTTGACGTCATTCTTCATGGGATCAGGCAGGAAGAGTGTGAACTGCAGATGCACCATTGCAAGAACAAACCACCACAACAATGCAACAACCAACCACCACGACAATACACCACGACAACAATACACCACGACAACAATGCAACACGACAACAATGCAACACGACAAGCAGTGTGGGAGAGAGTAGACGTAGAGGAGTTAGGCCGTGATGTTGAATCGACTGAAGGTGAGAGTGAGATGCAGATGCAACATCGACTATCATCTTAGAAGAGAAAGACAAAGTGACAAGAGATCTGGGATAGACATGCCAGGAAGAAGATTTGGGGAGCAACGAGGCCGAGCAACACATCCCCATAAACGGCCTTGAGAGTTTTCAAAAGATACCCTAAGCGCCCTCAACAGTTGTCGTACAAGAGTGAGACTGAGTGTGACAGGAGAACTGACCTGGAAGAAGATTTGGGGAGCAATGAGGCCCAGAAGCACAAGCCCGTAGACAGTCTTGCCAGTGGCGAGGAGATAACCTGTGAGGAAGATGCAACAGTGAGGGAGAGGTGAGACACGGAACAGGTGAAGGGACCAGTCAAAGGAGGAGGAGCAATGAGGCCCAGAAGCACAAGCCTGTAGACGGTCTTGCCAGTGGCGAGGAGATAACCTGCACAGGGATTGGGGGGGGAGGGGGAGGGGAAGAAGCACAAAGAAATGACAGAGGGAACAGGTGAAGGGGTGAAGGAGTGAACTCAGGAGAGGGGAGCAATGAGGCAGAGCAGCACAAGCCCGTAGACAGTTTTGCCAGTGGCGAGGAGATAACCTGTTGAAGCGGGTGATGTGGGGGAAGGAGGAGATGGGAGCGGCAGAAGGAGAAGGGAACACGTGGAGGTGAGCCTAGCAGTGGGGAGCAATGAGAGCGAGGAGAGGAGCACGGGTTCACTCATCTAACAAGTCGTGGCATTTCAGTGTGCTTCTCACACCTCACCTGCCACAAGAGTTTGCTGAGGAATGTCAATGCTGGCCACAAATAAATGCCTACGACTGGAGATCAGCCATGCTTTTATCTTAATTTTATGTCACAAAGAGTTCATTATTTGCAGTTTATATATCCGCCCCTCACCTGCAACAGATAGCTGAGTGACGTCAATGCTGGCCACGCAAATCCACTTGGCAGTTTCCACACCAAAGGCCACTGGGAGGGACTGCAATGGAACAAGGGGGGAAGGGAGGGGGACGGGGGGAAAAGAATTGAGGGGGAAGCGGGAAGGGGAAAGGGTTGATAAAGCTGTATCCACATCGAACGCCACCGGGAGAGACTGGAGCATGGTCCAGTAGAGGCGAGCAATGAAGGAAATAAAACAAAGGTTGGAGGAAAGGGGGGGAAGGGGGGCAACAAGGTCCATTTGTTTCCCTCAAACCAACAAACTACCCATCTGTTCCCATCAAATCTCAATGCCTTCCACCCACCTACACTCACCACGCACCTGCTCCCCAGCACCCACCTGCTCCCCGGCACCCACCTGCTCCCCGGCACCCACCTGCTCCCCGGCACCCACCTGCTCCCCGGCACCCACCTGCTCCCCGGCACCCACCTGCTCCCCGGCACCCACCTGCTCCCCGGCACCCACCTGCTCCCTGGCACCCACCTGCTCCCTGGCACCCACCTGCTCCCCGGCACCCACCTGCTCCCCGGCACCCACCTGCTCCCCGGCACCCACCTGCTCCCCGGCACCCACCTGCTCCCCGGCACCCACCTGCTCCCCGGCACCCACCTGCTCCCCGGCACCCACCTGCTCCCCGGCACCCACCTGCCCCCCAGCACCCACCTGCTCCCCGGCACCCACCTGCCCCCCAGCACCCACCTGCTCCCCGGCACCCACCTGCCCCCTAGCACCCACCCACCCCCCAATAGGCACCTGCAGGCCCATCTTGCGGTCGCCTCCAATGCTCTTGAAGTCGTTCACAATAGCAATGCCCAGCTTCCTGCCACTGCGGATGCAAATACCAGTGCACCCTACCATGCACCTGCCCGTACCTGCCCCCAGCCTGCACCTGCCCCTACCTGCCCCCAGCCTGCACCTGCCCCTACCTGCCCCCCACCACACACGAAACTGCCTGGCCCCACCTGCCCCCAGCACCCACCTGCAGCCCCATCTTGCGGTCGCCCTCAATGCTCTTGAAATCGTTCACAATAGCAATGCCCAGCTGTTGGGGCGAACGGTGGGGCGAGTGGGGAAGAGGAGGAAAAGAAGAGATGGAAGGGAGAAGGCGAATCGAAAGTTGTTCGCTTTAATGAAGCCCAGCTGCCAGGGTAAACTAAGGGGCGATTGGGAAGACGAGCAAATAGCGTCCAGATTAGCAATGCCCAGCTGCCAAGCAGCGGGCCGAGCAAAAACGCGTTAAATAAGACTCAACTCTTAACAGCTTACCCCGGCAATGATGTAGAGGGGAGTGAGCACCACTATCTCATCGAATGTGAGTGCAATGCAATTCATTTGCTAACGGTTCGGAACAAGCTTTAAATTCTGACAGCTTACCCCGGTAAAGAAGAAGAGAGAGTGTACATTATCGTTGTCCTACCTATAATGCTTTAAAGAATACTCAATTCTCTAACAGCTTACCCCGGCCATGCTGTAGAGGAGAGTGAGCACCACGACGTCAAAGGTCAGCGTGCCAAAGAGAGCTTGTCCCGCCCACCTGCCAGGTTTCCACACACAGGAGGGCACACAGGAGGGATAAAGACACGGGGCAGAGAGGAAGCGTGACAGTGAGGAAGTGTGACAATTAGGCACCGTGACTGAGAAGCAGTGTGGCACAGAGGCAGTGCGAATCCCACCAACATACATGCTGTTTACATGCTGTTTACACGTTGTTTTGTGAAGCGAGACCTAGCTGGAGCCCAGGGCGTAATTAAAGACCCAGCCGCTCTGCTTGAGGTGCCAGCAGGCGTATTTTGAGGATTCCCGAAGATCATCACAACACAGCAAGGGAACTCACCAGGGAAGCGAGATGTAGCTGGATCCCAAGGCATAGTTGCCAATCCAGCCGCTCTGCTTGAGCTGCAGAGGTTGCGAGGGGAGGGAGCGTGGACAGTGGCAAGTGGAAACGCCGAAGAGGTGAGATGCAATGCAATGCTTTTGAGATCGCGTAGATTATCCCGTTCTTAATCACAAACCCTTTTCCGCCTTTCTGCCCCTGCGGGGTAACTTCAAATCATTGTAGCGAAGACCAAAGCCAGGAGAAAGACACAAGAGAAGAGGCCTAACTTCCCTGACAGGAGCGAGCGAGGAAAGAGACGAGAAGAGAAGGGAAGGGGTTTACCTTGAGAGGAGGCGCGGAGTAGATGTATGAAATGAGCGAGCCACCGGCTGAGAGAGCAAGCAGGATGGGGAAGTCGTGACCCGCCTGATAGATGTGCATGTGCACGCAAGAATGGGAGGGGAGTGGCGAAGAAGGGCAAGGGGAAAAACGAGGCACGACAAACAGGGTCAAGAGTTATGAATGGGGAAGAGGGCGAGCAGGATGGGAAAGGTATGGGTGACGGATGGATCAGATGGGAGAATGGAACATATTTGGCAGTAAAGAATGCGGACGAGAGGCATGCGGAGGAGGAGGCATACACAACAGTGCATGTGTATTTCTAAGGCGCATCAAAAATAGACACGGAGGAGACATCCACCGCAGTGAATGTGTTCAGAATGTACACATGAGGAATGAGGGGCACGTACATATTCTGTGCACATGTATGGAATGTCCGAACAAAAAGAAAGTCTGTTAATTAGAGGTGATTTAATACCTTCCTTTCGAGCAAGGTCATGCATGCACTAACACCAGATCCGTTCAGACCCACTCAAAAAGAGACTCACTGAGACGATTTTAGAGTCGGCTAAAAAGTCATGCATGCACATTCATCCAGACCCCTTTTGTGAGAGCATCTAGGCTAGAACCACTCTATAAGAGACTCACCCAAACGTCAAGGCCATACGCCACTACCATGGCACTCAGCAGCAGAATCCAGATTTGCGCAATGACCTGCATTCAGAGCATAGAGACGAACTTTATTAGGAAGGAAGATGAGAAGTCAGGCTCGTGGGTGCAATGAAGCAGGAGTTTGCTAGGGTAAGTATGCCCACTGGCCACCGAATTTATGCGTCTCAAATTCTTTGGAACAATCCTGTGAACAATTCTTTTTTCAGCCACGAATTGTGACAATCTCGGAACATGCTAACAATCTTTTTCTCGGATTCGAGCGTCTATCCAAACATGGCAATCTTTCTTTCTTGCAACAAACCACCCAGCATCCCAGGCACGCGACTCACATCGCTCTCGGAGATAGCACCCGACGGGATGGGCCGGTTGGGTTCGTTGATAGCGTCAATCTCGCGATCGTACCAGTCGTTTATGGTCTGGAAGGGGAGGAAGGGAGGGGGAAAGAGGGAAGGGAGAAAAGAGAGTAATGAGAGGTGAGAGATACGGGGAGGAAGACGCGTTTAAAACGTCGCTCAGACAACCGGGTGGGCTCGTTGATAACGTCAGCCTCGCGATCGTACCAGTCGTTTATAGTCTGGAGGAGGGGTTGAGGGGGAGAAAAGAGAAGCGTGAGGGGTGAAGGGAGAAGGGAACAATAAGAGGGACGAATTGAGACAGGCATGTCGAATAGCCACCAAGGAGGAATCGGAAAGAGATTCTACTGCGTGAAACAAAAGAAGCATGAACGGACCTGAGTGTAGCCGGTGAGGAGCGGTCCAGAGAGGAACATGCACACGACGGCCATAGACACATCCTTGAGGGTCCACTCGAAGTTGCCTGAAATCAAAGGTGAGGAATATAAGGTCAAAGCGTGTGAGATAGGTCCAGGTACCATTAATTACGCCATCAGTCAGTGAATCTTTGTTTCCGAACGGTTCGTGAAGGTTGAATAATGAGGATGACGAGGATAAGAACGGAGTGAGCCGGAGAGAAACCGGATCGGCGGCTGCGATTTCTGCGTTACCAAAATTTCCCTTGTTCATGATCAAACTCACGCACCAGAGGCAGCAGCACCGCACAGCACACCCCAGATGAGCGGCACCCATGTGACCGGCTTGGTCAGCTGGAGGCGAATCTTCCAGATATCCTGAAATTTCAAGCAGAAGCAGATGAGGGATCCGGATAAGGCCTCAAAAGAAGCGATAACTGATCAGTGATATCTGCGATAAGTGCTGAAGGATTTGTAGAAAAAACACGACCTCGAAATAAGCCAGTGAAATCGAAAGTATCAGACTCGCAACCCGTGTAGATTTAAGAACAGTTTTACGAGGCAATCCTTACGTCTTCCTTGCTTCCGCCACGGATTCCCAACAGTTGACGGACGGCAGAGTCGCCTTCTTGAGACGGAGCAACATCAGGCACCTTAGCATCTGGAATTTGAACGAATAAAGGAAAAAATCACGAAATAATCTATTCAGAAATAAGAATTAGAGGAATTAGTAGGAATTTAGAAGCGTAGAAGCTACAACACGGGGAGACTAGTAGCATAGCGTGCTGACAACCATTTTCGCAGAAAGAAAGGAGCATACGGAAAAAATATTTCGCATCAATCTATAACAGTTTCCTAACGGCGTACGTTGTGATGATCTGGTAAGACTATAACCCGCATAATTCAGTGCTGTGAAAATGCGTGCATGCAGCAGCTGAATACCTGATTTCTTGTCAGTTTCTGCCGAAGCGACAACGATCGTACGACCAGCGTTCACAACGGTCCTCTTATGCGCTTCGGTGGCCAATCTCCTGCCGCCAAGTGGCAACCTCAGACTCGAAGCGCTAAGACCAGCGCGAACCGCGCTCTTTGAAGACGCATTGCAAGACGCAGCGCGTGACACTAGGCAATGCGACTCGAGAGAAGTCTGAAGGAGGCTAGCGGAGGCCATCGCAAAACTTTGTGAACGAAAACGCGGAAGTATCGACGGATGAGGTTGTTCCTTGTAGGATCGTCAAATGGGCTGGCCTTCGTAGGAACTCTTAGCGATGCCTGACCTGTTGAATTCCTACAGCTAATCTTCTCCTGAAAGAGTAGAGGTTCCTGAAGAATCTCCGTTGTTGAAGGAGCCTGGTCAACACTGCTGCTTCTGCAGCTGGCTCGGGCTTGCTTCCTAGAGCGAATTTCCCCTAATCTGACTGGGAGGTTTGACGGCATAACGGAGGCCAGCAAGATTGGACATGCTGACGGAAGCTAGGATCGCTGTAACGAGGGATTGCGTTTGGGTGAGGTCCTAGAAATTGGAAGACTCGAGGGGGCCGTGGGTGTGAATTTGTTACACGTGGCGCGCTCGCGTAGCGCCAAATCCACCGTGTTCATCTTGGAAAATGTCCATTTATAAAAGGCTTCGGTTATTCTCCGATAGTCATACATGAACCAATAATGACGTAATCCTACAACATTTACAACAATATATGTAACCGCTGCTTGCTCGTTCGCCTGCGTTCTGCTGCTGGTGAAATAATGACAACCTTTGCAAAAAGGCTTCTTTCGCCAGACCTTCGCCACCTCCCTTCTCAGCCGCCATTTTCTTGGTCGTCGCATCTCGCACCACTACTCCCCTACCCAACAGCAGGGTCCCATAATCACTGCAAAATCGCAAGCTGTTTTTGCCTCACAGCGTCCGCTGTGTGCGAAAACGAAGTTACGACTTCACCGCGTAAAGCCTCGAAACTCCCTTTTGGGCTCCAGCACCGCCTTTTTTTAATTCATCCCCGCTGTCTTGCAACTGCCTCCCCTCTCTCTGCTCTTCACACACAGCACAACCGACATTAAAATGAAGACGCCAACGACCCGTTACGACGACTTCACGACCGTTTCTATTCCCAACAACTAAAAAAGCCAAGGCATCCTTCGTTTCAACCCAAAACTTGCTCGTCAACAATTACAGGCTTCAGCGTCTCTCTCGCAAACGGATTCCCCCACTCGACACTCATAAGTCTGTTTACCTCTGCGAATCCTTGCTCACGTGCCACGATGGCTAGATCACGAACCTTTCTTGTCCTCGGGATCATCTGCGTCGCTCTCTGCGTGGCTGGGGCGAGCGCACAAGCGAAGCCGAAGCCTACCAAGGCGCAGCTCAAGGCAGAGCTGAATAAAATGGCGACCACCATCACAAAACGCTACCCGCAGTATGCGAAATACGCCAAGTGTTGCGAATAGCATACGCATCACGTGCTACCCACTTTGGCACTCCAACCCCTTCTCCTCAAAACACTATCGTAACTTTCTTTCCTACCTTCCCAAAGTTACCCAACCCCTCCAAACCCATTCAAATTACCCAACCACCAAGACTTTCCTTTTCCAACTCATCTTTTCCAAGCCAAGCCCACCAACTCCTCCTTAACTATCTCCAACCACCATAGCCTTTCCTAGTCCAACTCAACCAATATTCAAACCAACTTCCCATACTCATCCTCAAGTCCCACCATAATGCACATGACTACTCATGATTTTCCATGTGCTTTCCTTTCCTACTCATTAAAGTTTACCCAAGTCATTTAACTCCTCCAATTATCCTCCTCCCATGTGCCTTCAAGCACATACTTCCACTTCCTGGTCATCAACCTCCATATGCCTCTCATTTATTCCTTCATTCCTTCCTTTCCCAATTCACCAAAGTTGCCACCTCATCCCTAAGGACTTCACGACTATCCCATCACCACCTATTCCAAGGCAACAAAGCTCATCATCTCCTCCACTCATCCTTATCCAACTCACTAAGCTCTCTTCCAACTCAACAAGGCTTACATCTTCAACTCACCAAGTGCTCAACTACCACAATATTCTCCAATACTATTCATCTACATCAAGCATCTCTACAACTTCTCAAGAAGGTTCTTCAATGACAACAATGCCTCTCAAGCTTCTTCATCAAGCTCCTCTCCAAGCTCATTCCAAGCTTCTCCTTCAATCTCCTCTTCAACTACAAAGGCTCCTCACTAGCAACCAAGTTTCAATGTCTCCAAAGTTGATATTCTCATACTACTCTCTTCTAAGGCTACCATTGATGGTTACTCTTCTATGCATGCCTATGTATCCTTCATGGATCTATAAGGCTTGTACTATACTCTCTTTAATATAAGTTTATGCTCATAAGGCTCTCTCTCATATAGTCTACAAAGTAGTTATCAATTGAAGCTACAAGCTACAAGCTGAAGGGAGGATCATCATCCAACCCAAGGCTTGAAGTCACTCCCAAGTAAACCATATAAGTTCAAGTTCTTCTTTCAAGCTACTTCTACAGCTATCCCTAGTAAGATTCACTCAAGTAAGTGTTTATTACCTCTCTCATTCTCTCAACAAGCTCACACTCTTCTTCTCTTTTGAGTTCTTACCCCATCAAGCATTCCACCCTACACAAGTTTCTCTTTATAAGCACAAGTTCTAAGTATCATCTTCTCTTCTATCAAACACATCCTCATATGCTACAGTTCTACTGTTCACTCTTGTCTTATTCTAGTGTGCAATCATACTCTTTTGTCCTTATCTCAATTCTCTACGCCAAGGACATCAACAAGTACATCGGCCTTGCACGTAAGCGCTTCATCTCACCACTTGGATGGATTAACACTTGTGAAATTGCGATCTTGCCCTGCTTTTGTCCTGTTGTCAACGAAATTACCCAATCTTGATCTGGATTCTGTTGAGACAAAGCTTTACAATAAATTCACCTCCATTCTGCTTCTTCACGCTTCCTTCCTCCTTTCTCCTCCCCCCACCATCCCCCATCCCTCCCTCCTCAACCCTTCTTCCCTATCCGCCTCCCCCTTGTCCAGTGAACTCCAAATACGACTTCTTAGCCCTCGCGGACGCCACAATCCTCCTCCCCAACAACGTCGAAGCCGAAGCCCTCTCTAAGAAACTCCCCGCTAAGAAAAGCAATATCCCCATCGTCTACAACATCACCGCATACCACATTATCGCCAAAAAGCTCACCGTTCCGAACATGCGAGCCTACAAAAAGGGACAGCCACTTTGTACTCAATTGAAGCAGCCTCTTTACAAGAGCTCGCTCCAAAATGCGAACGCCGCGTCGTTCGTCAGGGGTCCGCAAGCGCCTGCTGCTGCGTGGACGACGATCAAGATCCCGAGGATTTACGCGGGGCCGTACTTCATTGCTCATGGCGTGGATAAAGTTTTGATTCCCGCGGGCATGAGATTGCCCAAGTAGGAAACCACAGTAAATCTGATTCACTTAAAAAACACGTTATATGCTAGCTTATGAAAGTGTAGTCAGTCTGCATCAGAAACTGTCTGTAACGTTTAGAATGACCTGACATTGCGGAATTACCTGCCTAGAAGATAGCAGTAGGCATCTGCCTAGCTGGCAGTCCAACTTGGGAGGGGATGCGTGATGTACATAGCCTGGCAGCCATTTCATGTGTGAATGCCTTTGTTTGAATTCCGAAACGTTTTACCACATGCTCATGGTGCAAAGCTAATACAGGTGGGGGAGAACGTACGTGCCGTATACAGCGTGAGGCCTTTGCCCAAATAACCCTGATTCATATGAAGGTGTCAACCAATCACATCTACCTAAAACACTTACAAATTGGTGTACTGTCTGAAAGCTTTGCACTTTGCTCAGTTGTGTTGAACGCTGGTGACTTCACACAACACGTGACTTGCGTGACTCGTGGTACCTCAGTATGGGGAACAAAAACATAGGCTAGCGCAAACCGAACCCATTGCGACCGCATTGCAGGACGCGGCGCGTGACACTAGGCAATGCGACTCGAGAGAAGTCTGGAGGAGGCTAGCAGACGCCATCTCAAAATGATGTGTACGAAGACGCGATACTATCGTGCAATGGGGTTCTTTCTGTAATATCGTCGGAGGAGGTCCTGATTTTTAGGTGAGTGTAAGCGATGCATGCTTGAACTTCTCCAGATAATATATTTTCTGAAGCTCAGAATCAAGGTTCTTGAAGTATCTCTGCTGTTGAAGGAGCTCAGAGCTCACAGCAACACTCTACTCTGCTGGTGCTTCAACCTAGGCTTTCTTCGACCAACGCGAATGTTAAAGAACGAACTTAATAGGTAGTTGAGAGTTAAGTAGGCCTAGGCTTAGTAGCCTAGGCCTAGAGGAGATCGAGTGATTTGTGCCAAGGGAGAGTATCGAGAAAGTTGGGAATGTGATTGTTCACTATAGCAAGAGAGTACATATAGCAAACAAGTGAAGAAAGAGGTGCACCACCTATAAAGTTCATATCTACACTACAGCTAGAACTACATGCAGGTATAAGAATATAATTCTGACATCCCCCCGTAACTGCATGCAGGAATAGCTAAGTGCAAAACACAACCTGCAGGGGTACACCACAGACTGATAAAAGAGCAACAGCAGGAAACAGGCAAGGTTACAAAGCAGGTACAGCAGTAAACAATTCCTGCCACCCCCTTACCCTCTCCCCCCCCAACCACAGGAGGGGCAGCAGGGAGAGTGAGGAGGCGGGCTGGCTCTGGCTGGTCACCCCCTCCATCTCCTCACCCTCCCCCTCCCCCTCCCCCCCACACTGCTGCAGGAGCAGCAGAGGGGGGAAGAGAGGAGAGGTGGAGGGACGGCTGCTGGATGGTCTCACACCCGCCACCCCAGTGCCACTCCCCCAGCTCCCCCACACCCTCACACCCTCCCCCCCAGCGGCAGCTGGAGCAGTGGGAACAAAAGGAGGAGGAGGGGAAGGGAAGCACACTACCCAACACTCCAACACCCGCCACCCCCATACCCTCCCCCCCACGGCTGCAGGGAGACGAAGGAGGAGGGGGTGGGCAGGAAGAAAGCCGCAGAGCGGCTACATAGTGTCGGCGCAGGTAGATCAGGGGCGGCTACAGGGAGTGCAGGCGCGGGGTGAAGCAGAGGCACCGCCGAGTGCGCCAGGGGCGGGTACTTGGCGGTGCAGGACACCGTCGCAGGCGCCAGGGGCGGTTCCGCGGCGGCTCAAGGGCACCGTCGCGCATGCCACGGGGCGCACCACGAGCAGGGCACCGTCGCGTGCCACGGGGCGCACGACGGGCAAGTTCAAGTTTAGGGCACCGTCGTGTGCCTCGGGGCGCACGACGAGCAGGGCACCGTCGCGTGCCACGGGGCGCACGACGGGCAAGTTTAGGGCACCGTCGCGTGCCACGGGGCGCGCGACGGGCAGAGAAGGTGTCACTCGCCACCCGGGGGCGGGACAAGACGAAAATCGCCATGCGCCCAAGGCGCGCGACCGGAAAAACAGTAGCGGAAGCATAAGGCGGGCCCACACGCCAGGACGAAACACGCTCTAATGCCATGTTAAAGAACGAACTTAATAGGTAGGTGAGAGTTAAGTAGGCCTAGGCTTAGTAGCCTAGGCCTAGAGGAGATCGAGGGATATGTGCCAAGGGAGAGTATCGAGAAAGTTGGGAATGTGATTGTTCACTATAGCAAGAGAGTACATATAGCAAACAAGTGAAGAAAGAGGTGCACCACCTTTAAAGTTCATATCTACACTACAGCTAGAACTACATGCAGGTATAAGAATATAATTCTGACAGCGAATTGGTCCCAAAGGTCGTTGTACATCGCACGAAGAACTGTGGCTTCCAGCAATTAGCTGGAAGCCTTCCTGGTTGTCAGAACATTATAGCTTACTCTTTTCTGTAGGCTATAGTGGGGTATCCCATAGGGGGTACAACCCAATTAGGGTTTCATATTTGTACTCACTTCATTTCATAGTGCAACACATTCTCGTTCAGTTTTCCACATGGTATAGAGCAGGTTCCCCTGTGGGAACTGTGCCTAGGGCCCACCACTCGATTTTTTTTTTTTTTTTCTGCCCGAAGCGCACTCATCCCGAGTCGCGCCTCGGGCCACTCCTTCCCCGAGCCGCCCTAGCGGCCGGCCTTACCTTCGCGGCCCCGCCACCCAGTGAACGCGGCCCCGCCACCTCTTCTCTCGCGGCCCCGCCGCCCAAGCGCTCGCGGCCCCCGCCGTCCCTGATCTCGCGGCCCCGCCGCCCCAGCGCTCCCGGCCCCGCCGCCCCTAATACGCGGCCCCGCCGCCCAAGCACTCGCGGCCCCCGCCGTCCCTGATCTCGCGGCCCCGCCGCCCCAACGCTCCTGGCCCCGCCGCCCCTGATACGCGGCCCCGCCGCCCCAGCGCCCGCGGCCCCGCCGTCCCTGATCTCACGGCCCCGCCGCCCCAGCGCTCACGGCCCCGCCGCCCCTGATCTCGCGGCCCCGCCGCTCCAGCGCTCCCGGCCCCGCCGCCCCTGTTACGCGGCCCCGCCGCCCCAGCGCTCCTGGCCCCGCCGCCCCTGATACGCGGCCCCGCCGCCTCAGCGCCCGCGGCCCCGCCGTCCCTGATCTCACGGCCCCGCCGCCCCAGCGCTCACGGCCCCGCCGCCCTTGATCTCCCGGCCCCGCCGCCCCAGGGCTCCCGGCCCCGCCGCCCCTGATACGCGGCCTCGCCGTCCCTGATCTCACGGCCCCGCAGCCCCAGCACTCACGGCCCCGCCGCCCCTTGCTCCCGAGCCGCCCATCTGCAGCAACCGAGCCGCCGGACCGCCGAGCAGCAGTGCAGCCGAGCCGCCCTTGCACCCGAGCCGCCTGGGAGCCGAGCCGCCCGGGAGCCGAGTTGCTGAGTAGCCGAGCCGCCTTTTCTACCGAGCCGCCCGACCTGCCCTGCCCGGTGAGCACTGTACCGCTGACGCTGCGTGCCCTTCCCCTACTGCTTGCACTGCTTCACTGTCGTCGTCATGGCTACCCCTAGTGTCCTCGCTTTTGACGCTGAGGGTCGAGCCGTAGACTTCGAGGTCTGGCTAGACGACCTGCAGCTGTTTTTACAGTGCGATAGGGCGGACGGTCTGTCTCTCTTTGACCTCACCTCTGGCGCCGTCCCTTCCCCTGCTGCTGATGCTGACGCCACTGTTCGCTCGCAGTGGGCCACGCGCGATGCTGCTGCACGTCTTGCTGTGCGTCGCCACTTGCCTACCGCTGAGCGCGCGCACTTTAGCCAGTACAAGAGTGCCCAGACCTTGTACGACGCTGTAGTTGCGCGCTACTCCTCCCCTGCCACTGCTGCACTGAGCCGCCTCATGCTCCCCTTCCTCTTCCCTGACCTTGCCGCCTTTCCCACTGACGCTGATCTCATCACGCACCTCCGCACTAGTGACACTCGCTACCGCGCTGCGCTTCCTGCTGACTTCTGCGCCAAGAACCCCCCCCCCCATGTACATCACTCTCTACTTCTTAGTCACTCGCCTCCCTGACTCCCTTCGTGTAGTCCGGGACCACTTCCTCGCGGTCTGTCCCACCACCCTCACAGTCGACAGCCTAGAGAAGGCCCTCCTTGCAGCAGAGAAGAGCATAGTCGCTGTAGGAGCCTCTCGAGGTGACCCCCGCGCCCCCATCTTTGAGGGGTGTTCTCCTTCCCCTCTCTTGCCCTCTGTCGCCTCTGCCGCTGCGGCCGACCTCGTTGGTCTTGAGTCGGTCGGTGCGGCGTCTGCCCCTAGCGGGAGACGCCGCTCTGGCAAGGGCAAGGGGGGCAAGGGAGCGGGTGGGTCCAGTGGGGGCGGTGGAGGTGGAGGTGGAGGCGGCGGAGGGAGTGGGAGTGGCGGTGGAGGTGGTAGCGGGGGTGGGGGTGCTAGTGGCGGCAGTGGAAGCGGGGGTGGCGGCGGCGGTGGCGGTGGTAGCGGAGGTGGCGGAGGTGGCGGCGGTGGAGGCGGAGGCGGGGGAGGTGGAGGTGGAGGCGGGGGTGGCGGAGGTGGAGGTGGTAGGAGTGGAGCTTCGCAGCGGAGCGGCACTGGGGGAGGTCAGCGCCAGCAGCAGCAGCAGCGTTCTCGCGACGTCCCCACCCCTCAGCAGCTCCGTGAGTGGTACACGCAGCGTCAGCGCGGTGGGGGTTTTGGTCCCTGCACCTACGTTCTCCGCACTGGCGACCGCACTGGAGAGCAGTGTGGGGGCACCCACACCGCCCAGCGCTGCTTTGGCCGCCTGACGGACGCTTGGCGCCAGCAGTTCCCGGAGGCCGCGAAGATCCCCCGCTGGGGAGAGCTGTCTAGGGCTGGTGTAGCTATCTTTGATCTTGATTTTGATGCTATCCTTGCTGCCATGTATGATGTGACCATTAGTGATGAGGGTGACTGTTACCGGTGTTTCCCGCCCGACCCGGGCATTGGTACTGCTGCTCTAGGTGCCGGTGAGGCTTCTGCTCTAGGTGCCAGTGCGTCTGTGCTCTCAGGTGCTGGTGAGGCTGCTCTCTCAGGTACTAGTGCGTCTGCGCTCTCAGGTACTGCGTCGGCTTCGGCCTCCCACACCTTCACTCTTGACTCTGGAGCGTCTCGCTCTTTCTTTCGGGACCGCACCACACTCACGCCGCTTAGTCGGCCGGTTGCGGTTTCCCTGGCTGGCCCCTCTGGGGGTCCTGTCCTGTCTCGCTTCTCCACAGTCCTCCCGTGTCCGGCGGCTCCCTCTGGCACCCTGTCTGGTCTCTATCTCCCCTCGTTCTCTACGAACTTGGTGAGTGGTGCTGACCTACAGGATGTGGGAGTCCACCAGTTCACCCCTGCTCGTCAGCGAGTGATGCACTGCACAGAGGCTAGCACGGGTCGTCACCTGGCTACGTTTACACGTCAGCCAGGGTCGAGCCTGTACACACTGACCACTGCTTCTCCTCCAGTTGCTGAGTCTGGTAGAGTCCCTTCGTCTGGTTAGGTGTTTGCTGTAGCGTCCAGGTCTGGTCCTGAGTCTGCCCCCTGTTCGTGTCGCCGTCTGTCTCACGAGACCCTCCTCTGGCACCACCGCCTTGGCCACCCCTCTCTGCTTCGGCTCAGAGGCATGGCCTCCCGTCTTCTTGTGTCTGGTCTCCCCCGGTCCCTCCCTCCCCTTCCTCAGGGCCTTGGCCCTGCATGTGTCCCCTGTGTCGAGGGGCGCCAGCGTGCTGCCCCTCACTCCTCCCAGTTTCCTCCGACAGAGGCTCCGTTGCAGACGCTTCACATGGACGTGTGGGGCCCTGCCCGCGTCCGTGGACTCGGTCACGAGCGCTACTTCCTGTTGGTGGTTGACGACTACTCGCGTTACACCACAGTCTTCCCCTTGCGCAGTAAGGGTGATGTCACTGAGGTGCTGATCGACTGGATCCGCGCAGCTCGTCTCCAGCTCAGGCAGAGCTTTGGCTCGGACTTTCCGGTGTTGCGTCTGCACTCGGACAGAGGCGGAGAGTTCTCCTCTGGCCTTCTGCGTGCCTACTGTCGTGCGCGAGGCATCCGCCAGACCTTCATGCTTCCGGACTCACCGCAGCAAAATGGGATTGCAGAGCGCCGCATTGGCATGGTCATGGACGACGCTCGTACGTCTATGATGCATGCGGCTGCCCCCCATTTTCTGTGGCCGTTTGCGGTCAAGTACGCGGCGCATCAGATCAACCTCCACCCCAGGGTCTCCAGGCCGGAGACCTCCCCAGCCCTGCTGTGGACGGGGAAGGTTGGCGATGCGTCGGCGTTCCGGGTCTGGGGATCTCGGGCGTTTGTCCGCGACTTGTCTGCGGACAAGCTGTCCCCTCGCGTTGCTCCCTGCGTCTTCCTGGGGTTCCCCCCCGACGCCCCTGGGTGGCAGTTCTACCACCCCACCTCTCGACGTGTTCTGTCCTCCCAGGACGTCACGTTCGACGAGTCAGTACCCTACTACCGCCTCTTCCCCTACCGCACTCCGTCCCTCCCCCCGCCCGCGCTCTTCTTGGTACCAGGTCCCCCCCCGGTAGACCCCCTCCCCCCTCAGGGTCCTGCCCCTTCAAGTGTGTCCCAGGTAGACGCGGTCGAGCCTGTCGAGGTCAGTGGTGACTCTGGTGCTGCTGCGGGAGCTGAGCCTGGGGGTGCTGAGCCTGGGGGTGCGGATTCTGGGGGTGCTGAGCTTGGGGGTGCTGAGCCTGGGGGTGCTGAGCCTGGGGGTACTGAGTCTGGGGGTGCTGAGCCTAGGGGTGCTGGGCCTGGGGGTGCTGAGACTGGGGGTGCTGAGCCTGGGGGTGCTGAGACTGGGGGTGCTCAGACTGGGGGTGCTCCGCCTGGAGGTACTTCGTCTCACCGAGAGCCACTCTCCCCACAGGAGCTGCGTGAGTGGTTTGCCCGAAGCTGGAGGCGTGCTGGTGGTGCTGGAGGTTCTTCGGCTGCAGAGGGTGCTGCTGCCGAGCGTCCCGGAGGTGCTCGTACTGTGGGTGCTGGAGCTGCTGGGTCTGAGGGTTCTCCTGGAACTGGTGCTGCTGAGGGTGTCGGCGCTGAGAGTACCGCTGGCGGTCCGACTGGCAGTGCTCCTGGTGGTGCTGCTGGAGGTTCTGGAGCTACTGGAGGTACTGCTGGAGGTGCTGCTGGAGCGGGTACTCCTACTGGGGGTACTGGTGCTGTCCCTGCTGTTTCTGGCGTAGCCACGCGGCCCCGACCGTACTTCGTTTTGCTCCTGCAGCAGGTTCTTGGTCTTACACCTTCTCCTGGTCCTCCTCCTCCTCCCTTAGAGGGTCCACAACCTGTCTCGTCACAGTCCCAGCTACAGCCTGCCTCCCCTTTGCCTGCTCCTTCTCCCTACGCTGGTCCGACTGGAGGTCTTACTGAGCGTCGTGAGCCTGCGTCTCGTCCTGCGTTGCCTGTTCGTGCTGCGCGCACTAGTGGTCGCGGTTCGCGTCAGCGTCCTCCTCCTGTCCCTGGCACACACCGGATGTCTCTGCGTCCGTCCACTGCTCCTCTGCGTGCCCCTTTGCCTTCTCCTCCTGCTTCCTCTCTTCCTGCTCTTGCCGACCCGGAGTCGGACTCTCTTCGTGCTGCCAGTCCTACTGTCACGCGTCTCCTTGCTACTGCTGTCACTGACCCTTCTTTCGAGTCTTCTGCTGCGTCTGCCCTTGTCACTGAGCTCGTCGACTTTGCTGCGCGTTGTCGTCTAGACTACGCTGCTAGTCTTGTCGCTGAGTCTGAGTCTGCCCGTCCTCCGTCCGTCGGGGGTGAGTGTGCCCTTGGAACGGACGTCCTTGAGGACAGGCAGGAGGAGTTCCAGTGTCTGGCCGCCGCTTCACCTCATCTCGCGTCTGTACTGCTAGCCCTTGAGGGAGACCCGAATGCACTTGACATCCCGACTCCGCGCTCTTACGCGGAGGCGATAGAGGGTCCCTACTCCTCTCAGTGGCAGGCAGCTATGGATGCAGAGATGGCTTCCTGGAAGTCCACAGGCACCTACGTTGACGCTGTTCCCCCTCCTGGGGCGAACATAGTCAGTGGCATGTGGATCTTTAGGGTGAAGCGGCCACCGGGTTCTCCGCCTGTCTTCAAGGCGCGTTACGTGGCTCGTGGCTTCAGTCAGCGGCAGGGGGTTGACTACTTTCAGACCTTCTCCCCCACCCTGAAGATGACCACTCTTCGGGTACTACTGCACGTTGCTGCTCACCGTGACTACGAGCTGCACTCTCTCGACTTCAGCACTGCTTTCTTGCAGGGCAGCCTGCACGAGGAGATCTGGCTGCGTCGCCCACCTGGCTTCACTGGATCTTTCCCTCCTGGTACCCAGTGGAGTCTCCGGCGTTCAGTCTACGGTCTCCGCCAGGCGCCACGTGAGTGGCACAACACACTGAGGACTACGCTGGCGGCACTTGGGTTTGCTCCTTCTACTGCCGACCCGTCGCTGTTTCTTCGCACCGACACCTCTCTGCCGCCGTTCTACATCCTCGTGTACGTCGACGACTTGGTCTTTGCCACAGCTGACACTGCTGGACTCGCCTACGTGAAGTCTGAGCTGCAGAAGAGACACACGTGCACTGACCTGGGTGAACTGCGCAGCTACCTTGGCTTGCAGATCACCCGGGACAGAGCACGCCGCACCATTACCCTGACTCAGTCACACATGGTGCAGCAGGTCCTTCAGCGCTTCGGCTTCACGTACTCCTCGCCTCAGGCCACTCCTCTGCCTACTCGCCACTCGCTCTCAGCTCTGCCTTCGGATGAGTCCGTAGAGTCGAGTGGCCCGTATGCAGAGCTTGTTGGCTGCCTCATGTACCTCATGACCTGCACACGACCTGACCTTGCATACCCTCTTAGCATTCTCGCACGCTATGTTGCTCCTGGGAGACACCGACCAGAGCACATGGCTGCAGCGAAGAGGGTGTTGCGCTACTTGTGCAGTACGTCGGGCATGGGGCAAGTGCTTGGAGGGCGCAGTCCAGTGGTCCTCACTGGGCACGCGGACGCTTCTTGGGCTGACGACCAGGCTACGCAGCGGTCGTCACAGGGTTACACCTTCAGCCTTGGTTCCGGCTCTGTTTCGTGGCGGGCTACTCGCTCGTCTTCTGTTCTCGGCTCCAGTTGTGAGGCTGAGATCTACGCCGGGGCTATGGCTGCACAGGAGTTACGCTGGCTCACCTACCTGCTGTCCGACCTTGGAGAGCCGCCTCGTTCTCCTCCAGTCCTGTACGTAGACAACAAGGCCATGCTGGCCTTGTGTCGAGAGCAGCGACTGGAGCACAGGACAAAGCATATTGCTCTCCGCTACTTTCTTGCTCGTGAGCTACAGCAGCGTGGACAGTTGCGACTTGCGTACGTGGCCTCTGAGGCCAACACTGCTGATGTCTTCACCAAGGCACTTGCGCCTTGTGATCATCAGCGTTGTTGCACGCAGCTGGGTCTTGTGCCTGTCTTGCCTCACTTGCTCACTTCTTGACTTTGCTTGTACCTTCACCTATATATACTCTTGCTCTTACTTGCTTGACTCTTGTATATCTTTATATATGATCTTGCATGTGAACTGGCCTTGTGGCCCTTGAACTTGTGCTCGGAATGTGTGGTGACTTTGTCATCCACCCTGAGCTTTGCTTTGCTTTGCTTGACTGGTCTTGTGACCCCTTGTTCTCCCCCACTTTGCCTATGGGGGTGTGTCAGAACATTATAGCTTACTCTTTTCTGTAGGCTATAGTGGGGTATCCCATAGGGGGTACAACCCAATTAGGGTTTCATATTTGTACTCACTTCATTTCATAGTGCAACACATTCTCGTTTAGTTTTCCACACTGGTGACTCTCGATTTCGGGAGTCCTGTCAGTCTGATTTCAATACCGGGGGGTAATTGCGAAGCAACAGAACCACCCTGCAGTCAACATGCGCATTGCCGAAACCAATCTACGAGGCGACTGCAGGGTGTAAGTTGCGCATCGCATGTCAGTTGGAGCGACTAGTTCGAGTTTGTTACCATCGGAGCCGAAAAGGAGACCATCGCACATGCGAGGTTTGAGCAGTTGAGTTGTTACCACGCGTAACATTTCGGGTTACCCTGTATTTATTGAAAAGCTATAGATCAAACAGTATTCTAATTACATGGAAATATAGGCTATTAATTGAGATAAATACACTACCGGATAAAACCAAAAATAAAACACGGTAGATTGCGCATATTCGTGTAAAACATTACAGCACTCAGTTCTGCCACTGTATGGAGCGTTTTGTTGGCAATTTAATATATTAAAGCTGACAGTACATGGCAAAATCATATATGCCTACTGCCACATCACTACACTAACCAGGGAACACTAGCTTAGCACGCTGTAGCTAGTTCTGTCAGAATGAGAAACGAGAATGGATGTGACTAACAGGAACAAGAGTACAAATATGAAACCCTAATCTGGTGTACCCCCTAAGGTGTAACCCACTACAGCCTAGAACCACATAAACATATAATGTTTGACACACCCCCATAGGCAAAGTGGGGCAGACCTAGGGGTCACAAGACCAGTCAAGGTAAAACAAGGCAAACAAGCTCAGGGTAGATCTCGAGGATTCCACACAAATTCCGAGCACAAGCAAGCGGTCACAAGACCAGTTCACATGCAGATTTATAATAGAGCAAGAAGTACAATGATCACAACCTAGCAAGAGTAAACATGCAGGTATATATATATATATAGTGATCACAGTACAGACAAAGTCAAGAAGTAAGCAAGTGAGGTCCAGTCGGCACAAGGCCTAGTAGAGTGCAAAAACGCTGATGGTCAACAGGCGGAAGCGCCTTGGTGAACACATCAGCAGTGTTGGCCTCAGTGGCCACGTAACGCAGACGAAGCTGACCACGCTGCTGTAGCTCTCGAGCTAGAAAGTAACGCAGAGCAATGTGCTTCGTCCTGTGCTCCAGTCTGTGCTCGTCACACAAGGCAATGGTTGCCTTGTTGTCGACGTACAGCACTGGAGGAGAACGAGGCTGCTCTCCAAGGTCCGTCAGCAGGTAGGTGAGCCAGCGAAGCTCCTGGGCAGCCATGGCCGTGGCGTAGATCTCAGCCTCACAGCTGGAGCTGAGAACAGAAGAAGAGCGAGTAGAACGCCAAGAGACAGAGCCAGAGCCAAGGCTGAAGGTGTAACCCTGAGACGACCGCTGAGTAGCCTGGTCGTCTGCCCAAGAAGCGTCTGAGTGCCCAGTGAGAACAGGCCGGTCTCGTCCTCCAAGCACTAGCCCCATGCCCGACGTACTGCACAAGTAGCGCAACACCCTCTTAGCTGCATCCATGTGCTCCTTCCGGTGACGGCCGGGAGCGACATAGCGTGCTAAGATGCTGAGAGGGTATGCAAGGTCAGGTCGAGTGCAGGTCATCAGGTACATGAGGCAGCCCACAAGCTCTGGATACGGACAACTCAGCTCTACGGACTCATCCGAAGGCAGAGCTGAGAGCGAGTGTCCCGTTGGCAGAGGAGTGGACTGAGGCGAGGAGTACGTGAAGCCGAAGCGCTGAAGGACCTGCTGCACCATGTGTGACTGAGTCAGGGTAATGGTGCGCCGTGCTCTGTCCCGGGTGATCCGCAAGCCAAGATAGCTTGTCAGTTCACCCAGATCTGTGCACGTGTGTCTCTTCTGCAGTTCGGACTTCACGTGAGCGAGACCAGCTGTGTCAGAAGTGGCAAAGACCAAGTCGTCGACGTACACGAGGATGTAGAACGGCGGCAGTGAGGTGTCGGTGCGTAGAAACAGCGACGGGTCAGCAATAGAAGGAGCGAACCCAAGAGCCGCAAGAGTAGTCCTCAGTGTGTCGTGCCACTCACGTGGCGCCTGGCGGAGACCGTAGACTGGCCGCCGGAGGCTCCACTGGGTACCAGGAGGAAACGACCCAGTGAAGCCAGGTGGGCGGCGCAGCCAGATCTCCTCGTGCAGGCTGCCCTGCAAGAAAGCTGTGCTGAAGTCAAGCGAGTGGAGCTCGTAGTCATGCTGAGCAGCGACGTGCAGTAGAACCCGAAGAGTGGTCATCTTCGGGGTCGGGGAGAAGGTCTGGAAGAAGTCAAATCCCTGCCGCTGACTGAAGCCTCGCGCAACGTAACGCGCCTTGAAGACAGGCGGAGAGCCCGGTGGCCGCTTCACCCTGAAAATCCACATGCCACTGACGATGTTCGCCCCAGGTGGGGGAACCTCGTCGACGTAGGTGCCTGTGGACTTCCAGGAAGCCATCTCTGCGTCCATGGCTGTCTGCCACTGAGAGGAGTAGGGACCAGCCATCGCCTCTGCGTAAGAGCGTGGGGTCGGGATGTCTGGTGCATCCGGGTCTCCCTCAGGGGCAACAAGCATGGACACGAGATGGGGCAAAGCAGCAGCAAGGCAACCAAACTCCTCCTGCCTGTCCTCAAGGACGTCAGTGCCAAGGGCATAGTCACCCCCGACGGACGGAGGACAGACAGACTCAGACTCAGCAACAAGACTCGCAGCGTAGTCTAAACGACACGCAGCTGCAAAGTCGACCAGCTCAGCAACTAAGGCAGACGCAGTAGCGGACTCAAAGGAAGGGTCAGTGACAACCGTAGCTAGGAGACGTGTGATAGTAGGACTGGCAGCGCGAAGGGAGTTGGACGCCGGGTCAGCAAGACTAGGAAGAGAGGACGCAGGAGGCGACGGGAGAGAGACACGCTGTGGAGCAGTGGACTAACGAAGTGCCATCTGGTGAGTGCCTGGGACGCTGACGCTGGACACTACGACCAGAGGTAGCAGTACGAACAGGCGACGCTCGACGAGACGCAGGCGACACAGGACGTGACGCAGGCTCACGACGCTCAGCAAGACCTCCAGTCGGACCAGTGTAAGGAGCAGGCACAGGGAGAGGGGAGGCAGGCGGTAACTGTGGCTGTGACTGGACAGACGGCGGACACTCTAAGGCGGGAGGAGGAGGCTGACCAAGAACCTGCTGAAGGAGTGGAACGAAGTACGGCCGAGGCCGTGCAGCAACTCGCGAACCAGCAGCATCACCAGCGGCAGGGTCCTCAGCACCAGCAGCAGCACCTCCAGCAGCACCTCCAGCAGCACCAGCAGTACCGCCAGCAGCAGCAGCACCTCCAGGACCAGGGTCAGCAGCACCCAAAGCAGCTCCAACGCCCGGGTCCTCAGCACCAGCCTCACCTCCAGCAGCACCAGCAGCACCGCCAGCAGTAACAGCACCTCCAGCAGTAGGGTCCGCAGTACCAGTAGTAGTGTCAACCCCGGGGACCCCAGCACCAGCAGTCCCACTACGAAGACTGATGTGCCGAGCGTACCACTCCCGGAGCTGTGGGGAAGAGGGCGGCTCCCGCCGCGGCGGGGAAACACAAGCACCAACTCCAGCAGCACCGCGAGCCCGAGACGCACCCCGCCGAAGGCTGCAGTACCGCGAGTACCACTCACGCAGCTGCTGCGAAGAGGGAGCTCCTCCAGGCGTCTCACAGTCAGCTGCAGTACCCCCAGACTCAGCAACTCCAGGCTCAGCACCCCCAGACTCAGTAACCCCAGGTTCAGCACCCCCAGACTCGGCAACCCCAGGCTCAGCACCCCCAGACTCAGCACCCCCACGCTCAGTACCCCCAGACTCAGCACCCCCAGGCTCCGCACGCTCAGGCTCCGCACGCTCAGGCTCAGAACCCCTAGCCGGACGCGAGTCGACAGCTACCTCGGCAGGCTCAACCGGGTCTACCTGGGAGACACCTGAAGGAGCGGCACCCTGAGGGGGGAGGGGGTCTACCACTGCAGCACCTGGCGCAAGGAAGAGAGGCGGGGGAGGGAGCGGGGCAGTGCGGTAGGGGAAGAGGCGGTAGAAGGGCACGGACTCGTCAAAAGTGACGTCCTGAGAGGGGAAGACGCGGTGCGAGGCGGGGTGGTAAAACTGCCAGCCAGACGCATCCGGGACAAAGCCAAGAAAGACACACGGAGCAGTGCGGGAGGAGAGCTTGTCCGCAGACGTGTCGCGAACAAAAGCTCGGGATCCCCAGACACGGAAGCGTGACGCATCGCCAACCTCCCCCGTCCATAGCAGTGTGGGCGAGGTCTCCGGCAAGGAGACACGGGGCCAGAGGTTGAGCTGATGCGCAGCGTACCGGACCGCAAACGGCCACAGAAAGTGGGGGGCAGCCGCGTGGACTAAGGAGGTACGAGCGACCTCCATGACCAAGCCAATGCGGCGCTCAGCAACCCCATTTTGCTGTGGAGAGGCCGGAAGCGTGAACGACTGGCGAATGCCGTGCTCGGCAGAGTAGGCTGCCAAGATGTCGGAGGAGAACTCACCACCTCTGTCAGAGTGCAAGCGCAGGACAGGAAACTCCGAGCGAAAACGCTCTCGCAGCTGAAGACGTGCTCTGCTGATCCAAGGGATCAGAACATCAGGGACTTCACCCTTCGTGCGCAAGGGGAAGACCGTGGTGTAGCGCGAGTAGTCGTCAACGACGATCAAG